TGAATCTTGCCTCTGACACAACTATAAGTAGCTGTGTGACCCTGGATACATTACCTGACTTCTCTGTGTTTCCATACATATAAAGTGGGGACGAAGACAGATGTTGCATCTCTGTTATGTCCCTGCATCCTCTCTAGGTTTGCTCTCCCTGGGAGAGGCTAGCTGCTATATCATGAAGACACTCAAGCAACCTAATAAAGACATACAAGTGGTGAAAAATCTGAGGCTCCCTGCCAACAGCCATGTGAGCAAACCATCTTGGAAATGACTCATCCAGCCCTAGTCAAGCCTTCAGATGACTGTAGCCCAGACCAAAATCTGGACTATAACTTCCTGAGAGGTCCTGAGCGGGAGTCACACAGTTCACACACTCCTGATTCCCTGGTTCTCAGAAACACTGTGTGTGATAATACATGTTCATTGTTTTAAGCCACCAAGATTTAGGGTAATATGAGATGCAGCAATAGGTAACTAATACAGGTTTTTTTTTCTATGTCTAAGATAGACACGGTTTCTGCCATCATGGAGATTACATTTAGCAATGCACAGAAGTGACTATGCTAACGGCTACAATACAATGTGAAAAGTGCTATAAGGAAAGCACAGGGCATGATGGGAGTGGATAGCAGGGGTACCAGATGTGGCTTGACAGTGATGGTGCTTGGGGAGGCTACCTATAGTCATTACCATGTAAGTTGCGTCTTGAAGGATGATCAGAGCTAGTCAGGAAGGTGAAAGGAGTGGGGAAGGGCATTTCAGGAGAAGGGACAGCACGTGCAAAGGCCTGAAGGTGGGAGCCGGCAAATAGGGATGGGTAGGAAAGGGACCAGGTGATATTGGCTTTTGGGCTCTATGATAAAGGAGTTTGGACTTTGATGGGTTTGAGGCAGCATAAGATTTGCATTTTGTAGAAGTATCAATCTGACTATGGCGTGAAGGATAAACTGGAGTAGGACTAGAAAAAAATTGGAACCTGACCATTTATGTCTGTCTTATGATGATATTAGATCACATTACCATAGTTGTGTAGACTTATTTTTTTTAAAAAAGTAAGTCACTCTGAATAAAGTGAATATACTTGCTTTATTTAAAATAATTTTATGTTGTGAGGATTTTTCCCATGTTATTATTATTAAAGAAAGTCGAAGATGACGGCATAGTATATTTGAATGCACCACAGTTGGTTTAACCACTCTCTTATTGATGTATGGTTAGGTTATTTTTTCTTTGTCACTGTTATAAATACTACTAGAGTTGGTGTGAAAAGGGTCTCCAAGAATCTTGCATGGTGAGTTTTATTGTCTGGTGGTTTTGAATAAGGATTTGAGGGCCATGCAGGGGTAGGGCCATGCACAGGAGGTGGTAGATTGAGCCCTAAATACCCAGTCTATTGGTGACATCATCTCTGGCGTTCTCTGAGACATTCCTGATTTGGAACATTCCGCCCCATTGGGGCCATATATCCTGGGCTTTTGTTTGGAAAATATTATCACCCTTCCATGCCATGAACTTCACGCTTCAGCAACATCGACTTGCTTCTCACGCCCCACACCTGCTCTGCTGTTCTCACGTCCCTGACCCCTCAGCCTGGAATGCCTCCCCCCTACTCTTTATCTTTCTCCCTCCTTTTCCCCATTCTTGGACTCATCTGAGATACCTCCTCCAGTAGGTTTTCCTAATCTTGCTCCATCCCAGACTGGGTGGGGTCCCCTCCTTCATGCATCCATCCAGAGTGCACTGTGCTTAGCTCTTTCACTTGAAGTAGCATTTTATTGCTCTTGTCCACTCAGTCATGAGCTCCTGAAAGGCAAATGATCATGGATTACACCAACTGACCGACTAACTCACTCACTAACTCTGTTCTTTTATATAGCAACTGAATACTTGGAGCGTTGAGCAAAATTTTAGTTAAAGGATAAATAAATCAATGAGTCCCAATGGAGAAAGCTCAGTAGTTGGACTGTCCTAGGGCCAGGGATTTAGAGGGAAGTGGGGCTTCCCAGGATGGAGACACCACCAGGAGACTGGACCTGTCTTTAGTGGTACCCAGGCATTGTGGGTGTACTGGTGTCTATAAATATCTTCAAAGGTACCTCTCATTTGAGGCTATTCCTGCTTGCAGCAACCCCCAAGCATTTAAAGACAGTTTTTATAATACTCTTAACTTAGGTCAAGATCAGAGTTAACAGGCCTTGTAATGGACCAGATCAAAGTCATGATCCAACGGCCGATTGGTGCAACTATGAAGACCCGCTGCCAGTGAAAGACTCCCTTTCTCTCTTTAATCGCATATGACTAACTAGGCAGGTTGGCTTGACGTATAATATGTACCCCAACTCTGTCTGCTTCTCTCTGTTGTCACTGTGCCCACTCTTTTCCACATCACCATCTCCTCTCCCCTGAGCTGCATTAACCTCCTAACTGGTCAACCTGCTTCCTTTTGGTCCCTTCCAGCCTACTCTCCACAGTGACGGCTCTAAAAGTCAAATCAGATCATGTCCCTCTCCTACTTGAAGCCCTCAGGCAGCTTCTCGTTACACTTGGAAAAAGACATACTCCTTCCCATCGCCCTCAGACCAGGCTCTTGCTTCTCCCTGTGACCCTCTTTGATCGAAACACCTTCTGCTCCCCCATCACATTTGTGTGTTCCTGGAACAGACCAAGCTCTTCCCCACCCTGATGTCTTTGCACTGGCCATTCCACGGGCCTGGAATGCCCGTTCCCGTCTTCGCATGTCTTGTTCCTCCCTGTAATTCAGAGCCTCCATGACCACACAATCTAAAGCCCACCCTGAATTGCTTTCACAAAACCCTGTTTTATTTTCTTCAAAACATTAACCACATGAGAAGTTTCATGGTTTACTAGTTACATTTTATTGTCTGCCTTTCCCCACGAGAATGTCAACTCCATGAGAGTGGCCTGCTGTCTGCTTTGTTTGGACTCTGTATCCACAACACTGAGAACAGTGACAGGCACATAGTAGATGTTCAATAAAGATTTGCTGACTGAATAAAGATCATTCAGCAATGAGAGAAAGAAGAGGGTATCTAAATGACAGTGTAAGTCAATGGAGAAAAGATAAGTCAAGCATTTGTGTTACATGCAACAACATATTTTTTGTCCATTGGCTCTGAAAGGAAATCGACTTTCTCTTGTCATAAAATTGGACTTCAAGGAAAAATTTATTAAAAAGATTTGAAGGCTTGATTTGGGAAGGGAAGGACTTGTTGCATATACTGCTAGTCAGGTTTTTGTCAGGGAAATTGGAGGAAAACTGAAATCACACTTAGTGGAGAACTACTGGGCATTAGGGCTGTGCTGGGGTCGTGGAAATAATAATAAATGGCACTTATTTTGGGTTGACATGGTCTTATCATCTCTGGTACCCATGTGGTAACCCTTAGGTCACCTACTTCTCACAATGACTCTATGAGGTTGGCACCGTCATGAACCTCATTGTATAGAAGAGGGATGGAGGTCCCAAGGTGAGAAGTTACCTAAGAAACCACAGCTAGTAATGACTGATGCTGAAGTTTCAATCCTTTCTGTTCTCTTTGATTCAAAGGCCATCATCTACAGCCTTATATATAACCTGCAGAGCTACCATTAATTACATATTTGCAAGGGTGAGGCCAGTCCTACGGCTTTAGGTTAAGGTATGTGTACCATCCAGGATCTGAACCCAAAGTCCTTGCTTCTCACCTTGGGCCACATAGCCTAACGAATCGCTTTGACTATCGTCTACTTTTAGTTTTTGGCTGTTCTCCTGGGAGCAGATGCCAATACAGCTATGTGATTGATTTCATCTGTTGCCAGCAAGCCAAGGGCCTGTGAAGGTTTTTGCCGATTTGTGGGGTGTGATGTTACTTAGCATTGCAGTAGTATGTGCCATTTATAAGGAGACCTCAAATGTTTGTTGCAAACCCACAAATCATCTGATGTTCATAGTGGAATGCAGGGATTGTCCTATGGGTTCTGGAGTCGAACAGAACCAGGCTCGAATCCTGACTCTGTCACTTACCAGCTGTAAGATAAATCTTTTTGCAGCTTCCTGTTTTGTATTTGTGTGTGGAGAAAACAGGAATTGCCTACCTCCTAGCTTGTGATTCCTAGTGATTGCCTGCTCTACGTGGTACCTAGAGCTAGCACTCATAAGCATAAGCTATTGGTGATATTTTTATTATCATTATTGTACAAAACTTGAGGCCTGTCTTGGCTCAGACTGTAGGAGAGGACTGGGGACAGGATGATGGGGAGGTATTTGTGGTCTGACTACACAAGGAAGCTTTAGATGAATAAGACCAAGTTTCCCAACTGCTTGCAGTTTCTACATCTATAAAATGGCAATGGTAATGCTCTCAGGAGTGTAAAGTTTAAATGAAAACACTAACATGGGTAATGATAATAATGACTAATATTGTTTGAACTCTTAATATGGTCTGGGCATTGTTCTAAGAATTGAATATACATTAACTCAATAAGCACACTCAGCAAACACTCTGAAACAGGTGTTGTTATAACTCCATTTAAAAAAAGAGGGACTGGAGGTGAGCGTATGTCTGGGATAGCACAGGGATTAATTAAATGTTTATGAGATGCTGAGATCTTTCAGCAGAAGAGGTTTTTCATTATTTCCGGGGCCCAGCCCACTACCTGGTACACAATAGGTGCTCAGTAAACTTTTATTGTTGGATAAATGAGATAGATCAGAGGTTGGCAAACTTTTTCTGTGAAGAGCCCCATAGTAAATATGTTGGGCTTTGTGTTCCAAACCGTCTCTGTTGCAACTTCTCAGCTCTCCTATTTTAGCACAACAGAAGCCGCAGACAGTACAGAAATGCATGAGCATGGCTGTGTTCTGATAACACTATTTCTAAAAATAGGTAGCCGGACAGACTTGGCTGCGGGCTGTAGTTTGCCCAGCTGTCATATCAATGCTGACTCTGATAAACAGCACCAGTTATTAAATGCATACTCTGTGAGCGGTATTGTTCCAAATACGTTCATGCATTATCTCCTGAGATACCGACGAGGAAAGTGGGCTCATTGGGTATAAATAACTTGTCCAGGTCTGCAAGACTATACAGAGCACAGACTCAGGAGACAATGGTAAGGATTTTGAACAGTATCCCTATGAAAGTATAAATTAACTCTAGATCCTCACTACTCAAAGCCTGGTCCACCGACCAGCGGTGGCAGGATCATCTGGGGGGCCTTTTGGGGTTTCCCGCAGGCTTCCTGAAGCAGAATCTACATTTTCACAAGATCCCACATGATTCCCATGCACGGTGAAATCTGAGAAGCAAAACAACAAAACAAAAACAAAATAAAACAAACATTGTTTAAATCCTGAAACTTTTAACAGCTTTTCTGAGTAATGTAGTGAATGATAACCTCGCTAAGCTTTTTATTCATCTTGTAGGTGTAAACTTACTGTCAGCATGTTGCTGGGAGAGCAAGAGGCAGAAAACCTCTCTTACAAGGAAAGGTAAGTTTAGATGCCAAATAGAAGCTTTCTTGTTTAACAACCTTGGGCGGCTCCTCAGAAAACATAGCCAGTGATTTAATGATCTTCACCGTAAAGGCATTAGAAATATGCAAGGTGAGCTGGTCCGTTTCACAAAATGGGTTTAGAACTCGGTTGTTGACACAGAGATTACAACCCAGGCTGAAATTTCTCAGAAGCTCTGAATGGAGCCAAGAGTATTGATTGGCTCCTTTATTTGACAGTTCCAGAGGCCTACACCCGCCTCTCCCTGGTCTGGCTTAATCTGATTGACAGTCAGCTCAGCCCATAAAGGGCAGTGAATAATCACTCTGCTAACAAGCTCCTTGCCCTCCAGTGTCTGGGAGAATGTTGACTGACAGGGACACAATTAAAAGGAGATTGATTTATTAAGCTGGAATGCTCCAGCTCCCCCTAATCTCAGCATCTCTTTGCTTCGAGTAATCACCATTTCCAAACAAGAGTCAGCCTACAGAAATGAAACCCTCGTGATCAGCAGGGAGCCAAAGACGGAGCTAAGTTTACCCAAGGTAGATCAGCCCTAGAAGCCCATAAAGAAAAACCACATAAAAGGAGCCCTTTCCTGCACCAGGCCCTGGATAAAGATCTGGGGTCCAGCAGGGAAGGGTGAGCTAAACAAAAAGGAAGCAGTGGTCATGAAAACTGCTAACCTTGGCTCCAGGTGGAAAACGGGTTAAGGAGAGTCGGTGGGCAACAAGCCCTACTTTTGTCCTTTATAGAATGAAACTGTGAATTTCTGCTGGAAATCACAGCAGGGTCATCGAGTATCTGGAATGTTGATGGAGATGCCGGTGGGATTCGAGGGAGGAAAAAAGTCTGTGATTTGAATTCGATGCTTCCTTTGAACTGCTGCACAGGGCTGATGTGGTCAAAGCTCAGGTCTACGAATGCAGATCATTAGTTCTAATTGTTGGGGTTGGAGGTGTCATAAATAGCACCTCTCCTTTTCACCAGAGTTATGAACTGATTCAGAAGTAAAATAAAAGACTTGGCAGCTGGAGATCGAAATACAGTGTCATCTTTTTTTACCGATAAAGTGGAAAGTGTAGTTTATATTTGTGGACTGGTAGGTTTCTTGTTATGGAGCCCCTAGCCTAAAAACACTTATCTCCCTGGTCACAGCAACGCTGGACAGACCCTTGTGAAATGTACTGTGTGGGGTGGGGGGTGGGGGGCATGCTCTCTGCAGACAGGCTCACCCCCAAGAGAAAGTGGAAAGAAAGGGGCTAGGCTGCACCTGCCTGGTTTCTCTTTCCAAACTTACCAGAATAAAAAATACTATAACTCTTTCTCCCCTGGGAGTCAGTGAGTTAGGGGACAGAGAGAAACCAGGAGTGAAGTGGGTCCTCTTCCATGTGGAAGGAATCGCCACGAGAGAGGAAGAAGCACCCTCCACCCCCACACTAATGGTTCTGAAATTAATAATAATAATAACAATGACAAAAGTTACAATTTACTAAGTATTTGCCCTGCACAGGCTCTGGGCAGAATACCTTATCTCATCTAATCTTTGCAACAACACACTGAGGTCATTTTATTATTCTCTCTTTGCAGCAGATGACAAAACAGACTGAGAGAGGTTGTGTCACTTGTCCAAGGACGCACAGCTAGGAAGTAGAACGACAGTGCACACCCAGCTTTACCTGGCTCTGGAGCCTGAAATTGGGAGCAGGCTCTGCTCTATTTGTTGAACCAACAAAGTAAATGAATGAGGTGAAATTTGAGGATAACAGGTTGAGAAGTTTGGCCATCATGGGCCAATCTGCGCAGTGTTGTAGATTCAGCCATCTTTCCCCCAGCTTAGGGGCTGGGCCTGGGGACTTTTCACCTGGACGTTCTGTCCTTCCAGGCCAGGCCAGGCCAGGCAGTGCCCCGCAGGTGGAGCTGGTCTTGCTCTCCCAGGGGCCCTGGGTCAGGGTCTGCCGGGGAAAGTCCCCCAGGTGTCTGCTTGTCCACTCGGCCACCACCATCCCCCGCTTCGCTTGGCGTTTGATTTCATTCTAGATCACCAGTGGATCTGCCCCAATGGGTCTACTGGATGGCCAGTGGCCTAAACACCACAAAACCCCACCCCCAAAGGGAGCGGGATGAACCCATCTCTGTCCGACTAGAAATCCGACTCACGGTTTAGGGAAAAGCATGGCTGACGGAGGCTGACATTCAACTTCCCCTCTGCTGGTGGGGATTTTGCCGCCTCCTGAGCATCTGGTCACCACATTTCCAGACATCCCTCTCACCACTGGCTATTAAACAAAAAGCAGAGCTCGTGATACCTCATTTTCCCTCACTTGTTCTTCACACCTTGTGATTTATTTTTAATCCTTGAAGCTGCCATAGTTATCTTTATCAGCTTTTCCTCCCTTCAGGAGAGGACCCCTTCCCTTCTCCAGGTATCTGTTTCCTACTCATCAGCTTTGCCACCTCCCTCTTTTCTCTCATTCGCTGTCACGCAGCCCTTGCATTGACTTCTGTTATCTTAATCTCTTTCTTTGGAAACTCCTGTCACTTCCAATTTTTCCTGTTTTCTCCCACCACCTCAGCCTTTTTTTTCCCCCAGGCCCCCTTTGCCTTCTCAACTTTCTTTTCAAAGATGTTGTATTTCTTTTCCTCTTTATTTGGTCCAATGTGACCTGACAGGGTGACTGAAGCAGCCATATTGGGGATAGAAATATGAGTTAGTTAGTGCTCCACAGTTTTTCTTTTTTTTTTTTTTTTTGAGGGGGGGATTTGCAATCAATTTATATAGTTAGCTGAAAGGTTAAGAATTTTCCACTTAAAAATAAACCTCCCCAAATGAAAATTTTGGTGTTTTTTGCTTTTTGTTTTTTCCAATGTCGTCACATCTCCACATGCATAGAGAGGGCTTCCTGTGGAATGCCTGTGGAGTGTGCACTGCTTCTACTCAAGCCTTACGAACATCCTTTTCACAAAGGCTGGAGAAATATTGTTCTTTCGTCTTCTTCAGGATTCTCTCTCAGAGAAGTGATGTCAAAATGAGATGCTTCCAATTGTGCCACAGATGGGGATGAGACTAAGATGGTGTCAGGCCAAAAGTTTGCTAGTACTTGAGCCCCCTAGGATAGGTCTCAATGAGAATAAGTGTTCACAGGACAAAGCAGGACAGAGCAGCCCTGGAGTATTTGCTGAGATGCTAACTCCAAACCTTGTTGCAAACCTCAGTAAATCTAGGCTCCACCCCATGGAAATTTCCTTTTCTTAAGCCAAGTGGCCCTGAGGAGTCTGAAGTGGGTGCTGTTCATCTCCCCGCCAAGATCCCTGTTACCAGGCTGGTGCACCCATCCTCCAGCTGCCCCGGGTATTACCTGCTAAGGGCTCACAGCTGCGCCCTTCTCCAGAGACTTGTCTTCACCCACAGAAGTCTTTTGGGGAGAGTACAAGTTCCCCCCACTGCCCCCTGCCGCCTGCATCCAATGAGCAACCAATAAGGGATAAAAAAGACTGACTACTGTTTCAAAGTGGCATCTACTCTGAGGTAGCGTTCATGCTCCAGCGCACCCTGTGGGGTCAGGCTTAAGCTGGACCTCATTTTCACTTAGTTCCTCCCCTCCCTATCCTGCTTGCCTCATGTCCTCAATATGTCGTGTGTACCCAAATCCTTGTCTCAGGCTCTGCTTCCGGGGAACCAGATATGCAACAGGCTACCATGCCATAGCAACAAAAGGATCTACCTCATCAATGCCTACACCTGAATCCAGGGTCTTACTACTTCAGGGTGAAAGACCATCACACAAGCTGAGAGAAGCTGGAGAGAGCGCGGTGCAGGAGCTTTCCTCAATGCCAGACTGAAACTTTGGGTTTCTCCCTTTAAATGACTTGTGTTCAGTAGAGCAGATGTGGCCTCCAAGAGCCTGTGTTGCAGCCTCGTGCTACTCACTGGTGTGTGAACTACAACGCGTCTCGATGTTCATAGCCTCAATTCCTTCTGTGCAAGACAGAGGACGTGAGAGTGTGTCTTGTGGAGGACAGGATGAGAATATCTGCATAACGTTCTTCTCCAAAGGAGGATGTTGGGTGATGGGTCAAGTCCTCCCTTATCACCTCAGGTATGACCAGCCTCAGGAAGACCCAAAAGAACACAGGACCTAAGGATTTCACAGTCTGGTTAGCTTCCAGGCACTTCTGGCTGTTATTTTGGGGGCTTGATCGAGGTCCTAAGCATAGGCTTTTAGGGGCTGGTGGAGGCAAAGGGCAGGAGAAGGACTGTCTCTCCCACACTCCCTATTGCCCCAGACCTGGAGTTCACCTTTTTCTTCCTCAGACTAATACCCTCCTGATGGCCCCGTTTCTCTCTGTACTCAGGCTTGAAATTCCAGCTTCATCTTGGTTTTTCCCTTTCTCTCATCCTCTTCTTTGACTCAGAAACCAAGCGCCCCATGTTCTGTGTTTCTTCTTCTCAAACTCACATCATTTCCTTTCCTTTGCCCTTTGTCCTGTGTCCAGGGCTTCCTTTTGCATTTCTGGTGGCAGGTGTAACTTCCTCACAGGTATCTCTGACTCCTGTTTCTCCTCAGTTCATCTGTTACACTTTGAGATCCTGCTTTCCTAAAAGAAAAATAGTTCATACCCCTTGTGCTGGCACCTGGAGCTCTTTGCTACAGAACTCTTTGACTTTCCTCACTTCTGCCCTCAATATTGCAGCCAAACTCACTCACTGCTCCTTGGAAATATCCTGTATTTCCTGGGCCCTGTGCTTTTGCTCCTGCTGGCCGTGCTGTTGAGGATGCCACATTTGTCCCATCCTTCAAGGGCGGGTTCAGGCGCAGCCCCTGATGCCACAACTGCTCAGGAACTCGCTCTCACCTGTGCACATTCATCTCCTTTATCCCATACCTTTCCTGTGATGCTTCTGTCCTGCAGCTGCTCTAGAAATTCATGCCCTTTGGTGATGCTGCTGAGGAGGTTTTGCATTCTCAGGTTCTGAGGTAAGCATTCTCAGTGAG